GACGTGAGAACGAAAGTCGGTGATCTGCAGCTGCTCAAGTATTCAAGTAGGCATAATAAGGGAAAACCAAATTCCTCACTTTAAATTTCTTTGTTGCTGGGGCACCCTTTCCAACACTTCCAGAATGAGCCATCTGTACAGCTTTCTGAGAGTGCAGCGGCAATTTTTTAACCATATCAAGCAGCGACAGCCGCATCTCAGTATCACAAAGATTCATGAGAGGGCCTGAACAATCTATTGGTTCATTGTCATCGGGAAGCTGCAACTCACTTGCCCATAAATTTAATAACGGATGTCCAAATAACTGCGATGCTTTCTAAAATTTATTTAAATTAACATCTGTTAGGCAAAAAAGAGCAAAAATGCATTGCCTGGATTAAAAAAAATAAGGATTTTCAAGCTTAAATCGTCATTTTTCTTAACCCAAGCAAAGCTTTTATTTTAGCTCATTCGGAGCAAGACAGTTGCTCAGGCCGGCAGAAATTGCCATTTTTATCAGTTAAAGGAAACAAAACTTTAATTTGCTCGAAAAATAATTTGTAAAAGCATACCGCAAAAGCTTCGTCAAGCAAATTTGTTACGAAATACTCGCGAAGTAATAACGCTTGGTTACATAAGAAATCGTCAGCACATGCGCAAGCGCTCTTAAATAAACTGATTGCTGTTGGACTGTCATCTGGAAGAATTTCAAAAAGAAAAAGAAATAAAATTTCTGTAAAGCATTTTGAAGCTGAAAAAAATTATCGAAAAGAAAAAAACAAAAAAGCAATGGCCAAAAGCACTTACCTTGGCCAACATTCTCCAACAGTGTAATCACAAGAGAAGCAAACAGAACATTTAGTTTATAAGCAATTTTTATTTCAAGCATATTCGGCGAACCCAGTGAGCGACACAGATTTATGGCTGCTCGAAGCAATAAATCCCTCGCCATCGACTTGTCGCACTGAAATATTTGACGAGTTCATGGGAAAACCTCTAATATTACTTATCGAGCACAGTGAATAAAATGAATTACTAAAAACACTCGGCGCCGATCTTAATGAGATACAAGCACTCGTTGTGTTCTCCTATTATTCTCTTCTCCTATTATCTCTATTGTCTTTTCCTCTAAACACCTTGTTACCTTATGTATTTACATGTTTGTTAGGGGGCTTTATTGATGAATCCCGCCTCTAACCGCACCTTGTGCTGTCTGTGTTTAGAGCTAAGGGATGAAACACAGGCAGACCTTTCCCTAGATATTCCTTTCTATATGACCTTTCAATATGTCATACGGTTTCCTGTCACACGAATCAGCCTACAGTCTTTTCCTTTACATCATTACTTCACCTTATTAAACTAACCCACTCTAAGTTAAAATTTGCGGACTTCGGCTGCTTCACGCTTTGCTTGCTTTTGGATCGTTCACTTGGTTTCTGTTTATACGACTACGGTTCGGCCTTCTAACCGTCGCAAATTAGAATTCTTGACAACGTTCATTTTTTTAATGGCCAGTGTTTGTTTGCTCACACTATCGCGCAGAGCCTCAAACAACCTCACTGTTACCGTTTCTCCGCCACAACAAAATGTTTGCTTACGACTATGCTCGCAATAGCACCTTGTACTCGTATATGACTGCTTTTAAGAGGTCCATTGGATTTTCTGAGGATAATGCGGCGAATGCAAAACTAGGCATTGCGGTGAACGGTTTGACTCAATTAGACATAGCTATGACCTCTTTTACAACGGCACTTTTCATCTACATGCTGGCTATTACATCACTTTTGTTTTCATATTGTCAAAATTTTCGTATCTAATCTCATTTGCATTGCAAATAAGCTCCTGCAACTTTTGCAGAAGTTGCTAGGAGCTGTTACTGGGTGTTCAACGTATTCTAGGGTTGTTGTCTCAGTCATAGGACGACGAGTTGCAGATTTAGGAACAATGGGGTGAAATTGAACGAACCTCTAGCGATACGTCATTTCTGTTGAAATATGATAAACCATCGAGCGTCCAGTGCATGACTTGAGGTATTATTCCACCATAGTGCTTCCGCATCCCAAACCTTCAAAAAAAAGAAAAACCATGTAAAAAA